CCCCCCCGTTGAAGAAGTTCTGCGGATGGCAATCGCACATCCGTTTTGTGCTTCATTTGTCATTCATTCTCTACATGTGCGCAGCTTATTTATATTCCTTCCATTAGCGCCTCATCCCTAACGTCACTTTAGAATCAGAGCTCTGCGTCTGTTCCATGTTGCAAATTGCTTGCATCATCCATTTGCTCTTTCTGACCTTCTGAATGATCTACAGTTTTGGTTTTTTTTAAATGAGCTTCTGGTCCCAATTTTCAGTGACACAGAAAGAAACCTTTCTCCAGTGAACCGTTCTCGAGGCTTGCTGCCGGATAACCACGTCGATCATCTCCGCGGTTGATCCTTAGGTCGAAGCTGGCTGGCCATTCAGCTTCATATCGAATTCTGGGCACTGCGCGTTCGTCATCGTATTAATCCAATTAATTAAAATTTTTGGAGCATGCACTTTAAAATAGTGGGTGGCGTTTTGGATCAGTTACGGCCAAAAACAATGAATTAGAACCGCGTCGGTAATCGGTGTATGTGCGATTAATTATTGGAATTTACGTGTTTAAATAAATGTCTTTTATTCACTGGCGCAATTCTGGTATGTGACAGAGTACAGAGGCGAACTGGTGGCGCATTCTACAGGCGATTACAAAATCGCCAACACGTTCGAGATATTAATTCGTGATACGGTAATATAAGGCGGTCGGAAGTAATGCGAAGTAGGCCAGCTTATGCACTGTTCATAATCGTACGGCTTCATGCATGCAAAACCCTTTGGTCACTTTAGAAAGGTAAATTCCAAGTGTTCCTGCAAGCGTTGAGCAGCAACAGTCCCCCGGAGAACGCGGACCGTTTCTACCACTCGAGGAAGGGCTGTGACTGCTGCGCGGCCGACTCGAAGAATAGCCTGCGATGCGCGACGTTCGGCTGCAAGAGCAAGTGCCGCAACGAGTACGCCAGCACATGCCTAGCAGGCAGGAACCCGCGCGTGGTCGCTTGCTACACGGTCGAGTTCAACTTCAAGACGACGGAGAACTACGCTGAGGTTCAGCAGTTCCTGCGTACGAACAGCTTCCACGACACCGGCTCGCCGAGGAGGGGCGGAGGAGGAGGCGGAGGCGGAGGCTACAAGCAGCGCTGCGTCAACTCGATCGCCGACGCCAGCAGCAAACGCTACTGTTCGATCAACTTCAACCCGCAGTTCTGCTGCAAGAAGTGTCCAGGCATCTGCCCCGACTGAACGATCGAAGCACACCGAAACAAGACCCGGAACGGTGGCGATGACCGCCACTAAGGACAACGGCACCGACGCTGTGTTTTGCTAAAGTTTCGTAGGCGTTAACGTAACATTCTGCTCACGTGCTTTTTCGTCACGATTTTGTGTAAACCCATTTTGTAATGTTATTAATATTCATTTTACGGCATGAAAATAAATTTACCTCGCTGTCTGTACCACGTACGTTGCCTGAGAACGAACATCTGACCTCATACAACCTCTGGTGAGGACGGGAGAATCATACGCCGGTAATGAAGTCACAATTGGCCCCGTTGTCTTACGGTCAGAGCTGGGATTGCCAAAGGTTGGAGTGGAGAACTTCGATGGAGAAATCGTCTGTTTCAATCAATGCGATAAATTATAACATCTCATGAAAATAAGTCATAATGTTCTTTCTAAACGTCGTATCAAGCAACCGTTCAAGTACAGTTGTTCATTTTTGACACGACTTAAGATTTGCGGTACCGTGAGAGAAATGCGTCGCATTGGTTCGAATTGTTATATTCAAATATTAGGATTCATCGTTCATATTTATTCTGTCAAAAGAGTTATCTTGTTTCATTGCCACTATAGAAAACATTAGAAGGAACGAAGGTCGAATTGAATGAAAAAGCAAATTATTGGATAAATTAACGAATGAATCAATACGTCAATGATGAAGTGAACGAGCAAACGTACCCGTAATCAACAGACGAGACAATAAATCAATCAAATAAGAAACCACGACAAACGAAATAAACGCATGACAAATGAATGAAAAGCTAAATCAAGGGAAGCAATGACGAAATAAAAAAGTGACGGAAAAAATTCGTGGCTGTTCAGCGCAGAATTAAACCATTTCATGGCCTGTCAGTATCCTTTAGCATCAAATAGTAGACACTGTAGTATGAAGATGTACAAGTACTGAAAGATTTTTTAAATTGTCTAATTATAACGGTCCCTCGGAATCATTATTATAATCCTTTTGTTTCTACTTTTGTTATAGTCTCATGAAAGTCATTGTTTTCCATAAACTATGCGCCGTTGCTAGCTATCATCATGCTGGTACATCAGAAACACTGAAGTGGTTTTTAATTTTTAAATCTTTCAAACTTTGACGCAGATAATTGGATATTCAAATGATTTCCGCTCCAATATAGCAATATTGCTAGAATATTTGCACAATCGCCTTGCAGTTGTAGTCATTATGTTTAGTTTAGCGAAGCTAGCCTTCGCCGGCAGCTGAACCGGATCGATGGTCATTTCCTCTGCTTTCGAAACGGAACAAATCGATTTGCGCATCTCCATATGTGGGCGGAGGAGGGGTGCGTTTTAATGCCTGCCAATACTACACATTCGAATGACCTTAGTCTGTTTAACCTTGGCTCTGATATCTCAAATTGAACTTCGTCAAGCAGTTATGCATTGTGAATCGATTAGACACGAAAACTTGGGTTAAATAGAAATTAGCACAAACGTGAAGCAGCACTGAAGAAACTTTGGAGGTAGAGCTAATGTCAGAACTCGATCTTTTAGTAGTAGACGGACCACAGATGGCCTTAAACATACAAGATGACTCATCAGTCCTGAGCACAACTGTTGTTTCAGCCGATTGCTTTCCATCGATGAGAGATTAGATCTTGATGACTATCATGGAGGATAGAAGAAACGAGTCCACCACTGTCAGATTTGGTATGTTACCTCTCCCTCACTCTGCCTACCACTGGCCGCTCTTAATGGATTCAACCTGAGTTTGGATCTGTGGAACGCATAAATTTACGCTTGCACTGAGTAGATAATTCTCTTTTTTAGTGCACCACTCATTCACTCAATGAGGACGGCCCCCTTCTTTCATTTTTAGGTGGTGATATCCGTCGATTAATGATATGGCGACATCTGCCTTGAGAAATAATGATTGCGTGCTCTCAATCACTTGAAGACTTTCAGCTCTGTTTCGCTTAGATGAATATTTATTTCAGGTTGCAAAACAAACATCGATGACGTTTGGGACGTGTTGCCGTCGACGACGACTTCGTTTCTCCAACTAGACGTAATTACGATGGACGATAATTGGCTATGAATGTTGTGCACAGAAAGAGTAGGCGACGTCCCATTACCATTTCGACGAAATTGTGCGACCAACTCTTCGCCGATTCTTTATGCTCTAGTACCTCTTCGAGCACTGTTTAACGGCCATACGTCATTCGCGTCGCCGTGATATCATTTTCCCAAAAAAAGCCGAGTTACCGTAGCGCCCCTCGAATTAGGTTAAGAAAATACTAGATTTTGAAATTAGAACTTCTTTTTTGCATCTGAGGTCTGCTATCGATAGAAAAGTATTTTTGCCTCGCAATTCATTCATCGCCGAGGAATGTTTGAAATGAGATTATACTATGAAGCTCCACTTCTGTGGGACAGAAGCCAATTCCTCAGCTGGTGCGTTTCCTCCAATTTCTTCATTATAAAATTATTTCGCAACTCGTGAGGGGAAACGGAAATGGAGCTCATAGGAACACGTCTTGGTCGAACTCAAATCTTCCATTGTAAGCAGTCAACAGGTTCCTGTCATTTCATCATAGACATTATGATCTGAGCTCGATGGTACAGTGTGAAAGATTATATGACATTCCTAAACTCACTATTCTGGCTTGTAATCACAGCACCCGTCTCCAATAAAAATTCGTCTTCTAGCTATTGGCATAACGAAATTTGTCAACATAAATTTCAGCTGATTTTTCAGTGCAACAGATTCTTTTCGTACTGTAAAACACAACGCCAAACGGAAGCAAAGAAACAATACTGTAGCTACTCTTCTATTGGCATTACTTGGCATCAGTATCCGAAAATATCCTTGATTTTCATCGCTTCCTGGCTTTCCAGAATTTAGCCTCGGTATCCACGTTGCAGAGAACGGATAACGCCCAAACTAGGGGAACAGTGTGATCGGTTTTCCATTGTTGATAAGACCTTTCAAAGATTCAAAGATTGCTCGGGCTTTCAGTGTGGATTCTTCATAGTTCCCACACGCCGAGCGCAATCATGCCAAGCTGTTTTGCCCTTGGCGGTTTGTATCCAGTTCTTTCCTGCTATAAGACCTTTCATGATCTTTAAATGACCATCTGATTAGACGAAAGCAATCCGCAGCTGATACCATAAATGACTTTTTAGAAAAGTCTCTGAGAGTGCATCTGCCATCTACTTGTCATTTACCATTGATTTATTCAGAGTTGAATGAATGGCCTCGGCAAACGGGTGAATGCAGTGAAAAGCTGCATGTATGCAATACGTTGGTACATGAGATGGGGTCGATTTCGGGAGCTGAAAGCAGACGGTATGCGCTAAAAAATCTTCGATTCAAATCCAATGTAACCTATCAGCGTCATGCCAATTCGAACTTGTCGTAAAGAGGAAGAGAACTGTGACTCATGGCTAGTCATGAGTGAGAAAATGCACCACAACAAGGTTTTGCATTACGTCGTCAAACCTCTGAATTGAAGGATGACATTTATTGCAGTCAGAGACCGTTTGCTGGATCAAGTCGTGTATCCTTACGCCATTACCTAAGAAAGCAATATCTTGTCCATTTTTAAAACGTGACCTGGAAAAACCAGTTATGATGATAACACTTGTAAACCGCAATGCCTAAATAGCCCAATTTTCTACCATAACTGAACCCTTTACAGTTGTACAGTTGCTGAATCATTTATCTGTGCGCTGCTTTTCGATTATGCAATATGGTAATGTTGTGAAAAGCCAGTGATACTGACGTTTGATTTGAGCATGGCCATAAGTGACAACTGAAGCAAACATTATTTAAGGCATTAGAGACGTATAACGCTGAAAAATGTCGGTCATAAACTTTTGGCCCAATATCGTCTCAGGTTCTTGTTCGTGACGAAACTGGTTCCGAACGAAGCAGACGTTAGAAATATGCAATGCGCCGCACAGGACACTGTTGCATGTGTCTTAATTGGGAACAGATTTACGTGGGTAGCCCCCAGCCACGCTTGACGCTCTGCTAACCAGGGCAAAGATCCTGTCCGAGATCAGGTGCGAACGCCTAACCTTTACGAAAGTTTGCCTCCACTGTTTTTGCCGTGAGTTGTAAAACTAGACAATTTCTGGAGGTTCTGCGCCGGCTGCCTTAATGTCAGGCGGTGTTGTTTGCCATCTGTCGTCAACTGTGAAACTCTGTCCTCTGTGGGCGATCAACGACCACTGACGGCTGCTGTCGCCACG